CCATTGCACCATTTCAATTCGCAATAGCTACATACGATACAACAATTGCATTTTGTGTGAAATTACTTAGATTGAATTGCTCTCAACTTGGGAAGTCACTGGAACGTGCCATAACGGTCGCATACGCAGTGCTGCTGGCGCTGGCCCAATTCGTATCTATTGTGGCTGCTAGCATTCAACACTGAAATCGATTTCGCAGATAGGCGGTCATCATTTCAATTCCAATGTTGGTACAAAACTTACTAAATGCTAACTATTGACAGTATGAGTATCTTGAACTGCACTAAACGAGATCACTGTACGCGCTAGCCTACGAATTCAGATTGACAGCTGCGACGAAAACTGGAAGGAGTTTTTAGCAACGTCAGATTAAGAACTTTTCAGGCTTTGTGAAGCAATAGGCCTTAGCCGAATTTTCAAAAACCTCCGTTTCCAATTGAAAGATGTGTATTGGGAGACTTTCGTTTTTAAACATAGTATACAGTTATCAAGAAAAACGAAAAATTCATATAAAATGCAGGTCAAGAAATGGAAAAGAAATTTTCTTCTAACAAAATTTCATTAAATCAATTTACCATGATACAAAAAAGAAGGTAGTTTCAATAAACAACTTTTTGATTAAAAGGGAGATTTTTGACAATTGCACAATTGTAAAAAATTCGAAGCGGCGTTGCCCAATTTTATTTTTTTGGTAGAGGGGATTTTATATCCTAAATTTGAGAGTATAAATAAAATAGTTGTATTAACATTTACCTTTTACTTGCCAAAATCTTTATTTTTGCATTAATAAAATTTTAGTGAACATATTTTAAAATTCTTTAATGTCATTATGTCATCTGATTATTTCACAATGGAGCTAGCCAAGACTATTACAGTCTTCTATATCGGATACGTTTATTTCTGATATATTTCAGACACTGAAATTACAATTTCGATATTGTCTTTGCCCATGTCTTTCAAGTAACTTGAAAACGGAATTTACTTTGAGACCCATGGGCCTCATGACTTTCAGTGAAGTGACTATTATCTAATTCTAGTATATTTCGACAATATCGTTGTTCCTGTGGGTAAAAACAAATATATTTTACTGTTCAATATTGGAGGGGTGTGAAAAAAAATTTATGATTTATTGTTAGTATGAAAACTAGAAACACAATTATAAACTTATTAAGCATTAGACCTCTTCTCTTTAAAAAAAACAAAAGGGGAAATGTTCGGTTATTTGTTCAATGGTTTTAGGGTGGCGAGCGGAGACGGACCCATTAAAAAATTGGGTAAAATTAGAATTTTTACAGAGAAAATGTAGGTCCAACACCGGCTACGTTGACCACAATATTTTTTTTAAAAAAGGTCCATATTTTAAACCGAATTTATTCATAAATTTTTATCTGAAAGTTAGAAATCTTTATTTTAAACTAACGTGTAATTGTTTGATCACACGTGAATGTCAAAATTTTTTGCTTTGGGTTAAGCATTTGGACACATTAACCCAAAATTATTGTACAAGTAGCCGAGCCGTACCCAACAATATACCTTTTGCTGTTCAAATTTCGATTCTAAGAACAAAATGTTTGTAAATAACCAGAAAATTAATAACAAAATTTGGAGGGTTTTGGATACTGGGAATGGTGGTAGCACGAAATGTCACAATCTACTTAATTGTCAGGTTGTTAATATGGCGACAAAAAAGTGACAATGGAACTACATACCTTCTTTTTTATACCCGAGCGCACTTGTGCACAAGGGTATTATAACTTTGTTCACATAACGGTTGTTTGTAACAGGCAAAACGAATCGAGATAGATATAGACAAATGTATACATAAATGATCAGAATGAAAAGAGAAATCGATTAAGCGGTGACTGTCTGTCCGTCCGTCCGTCCGTCCGTCCGTCCGTCTGTGCACACGATAACTCGAGTAAAAATTGAGATATCTTAACGAAACTTCGTACATGCACTTCTATTGGGCGTGGGACGGATGGTATTGAAAATGGGCGAAATCGGACAATAACCACGCCTACCTCCCATATAACGGTAATTTTCAGAAATACGAAAACTGCGATATTTTAGCAACTACTGAAGATAATTCACTCAAAATTGACATTTAGAATAACTTTTAGACGAGAAATAAGAATATTAAAAATTTTTGAAAAATGGGCGTAGCCACGCCCACTCATAGTTACATGTGTATATTTTGGAAACCGCTGCACCAATTTCTTCCAAACTTGGCACAGTTGTTGACCTTGGTACAGCATACTAAATGGCCGAAAATTTTTAAAATCGGACAATAACCACGCCCACATCCCATATAACGGTAATTTCGAGAAATACGAAATCCTCGATAAATCAGTAAATATTAAAGCTAATTTATTCAAAATTGACGGTTGCAACAATTCTTTATCAGGAAATACGCTTATGATAAAATTTTGGAAAATGGGCGTGGCACCGCCCAATTATGATCACATTTATGTATATCGGTAACAGTTCTAGCAATTTGTACCAAACTCGGTATGATTATTGTGCTTGCCACATAAAAGCAAACCGTTGAAAATTATTGAAATCGGACTAAAATTACGGCCGCTTTTCATATAACGGTAAATTTCAGAAATGCTTGAAATTTCAATATTTCGAAATTTAAGGATGCTAGTTTACTTAATATTTATACACCCGCTTATCATGTAGCGGTAGCTTTCGGAAAGGTGGAAAACATATATTTAATACTTGCGCCGGGTATTTAATGTTCGGCTCCGCCCGAACTTAGACTTTCTTACTTGTTGTATCATGCAATTTACAGCTCTCCAGAAAAAATGCTCGTATATTTATGTATTTGGCTGCATTCAAAATACAAAGCATCGGTCTCTTTTACTTCCAAACCACAGCAGATTGTAATGGCAAATGTGCGCAACCACGGTTTGATTTTTCCGTTGCTGATTTCGGAAAGTTATACGTCACCATGGTAAAATTTTATGTCAAAGATTATAGAAGCATTGAACTCGTAGAAATGAGAAAAATGGTAAAATATGAATTTTTTTTAATAACAATCATTTTGTTTGATATGAACTACTTATGGAGTTACTATGTACGAGAAATGAAGCCTTGAGAACTAAAGTAGAGCCTTTCTACAAATTGTTTAAAATTTTATGAGGAACATATGTATGTATGAAATTAAACGGGGATTACTACGATTCCAAGTAACGCCTTTCAAGTTAAATATTATGAGTATTATTGAAAACGTTCTTGCATATCGCACATTTCGAGCCCTAACTGCCAAAAGGGCGTACGCGACAAAAAGTAAATTTTTCAGTAGGCGTTTTTTTTATGAACACCGCAATGAACGAGGTACTTATGATGTTAGGTATATACTGGTCGTTTTATTTGCCCATCTTTAATGAAATACAAAAAAAATGCTACAGCATGCAATTGCGGCGGTTAAGCCAAAAGATATATTAAAAAAAAAGAAACCATCTCCCCTAAAAAGCATGAAAGGGCAAAGAATGAGCCTTTTGTGCCTTATTGGAGTGCAATATTTTAGAAAAAGAACACAGAATTTTCCTCTTCAACTAACTCTTCAGAAGAATCTGTGTCCCTGTATGGTACGAGTGCGCATTTAGTTAAACTCTGCAACAACCAAGTATTTTAACACTTAAAAATCTACCACAAGTATATGTATGTATTTACCTTTGTTTGTAAATAGTCCATGTTTGGAAGAAAAATAGACGGTCTTCAAAACTTTCACACAAGAATATAACAATTCCCCCTCTGCAATGAAAAATTGTTCACGGAGGAAAAGGCTTAACCGACACTGCACAGTGGTCAATAAATTGAATTTAATGTTCATAATTCACTGGAGCCTTCATTTCTCAACCGATTTGATTAATAATTTTTTTAGATGAAAGCTAATAAAATTTGCAAGAGACTAGTTGAGCCCAATTTTCGAATTTTTATTTGTTTGTATTAAATTGTTTAGTGCAAAGTGCAGAAATTGCTTGGCACTGCGGCCACAAAAAAAATTTAAACAGAGTACAATTAAACACTTTAGCCAAAATTGCTTTCGATATAATTTTGTAACGGTACCTCGTAGGAATTTGAAATTTTAACAGCTGGTGCGTATGGTGGTAAAAGTAATCGATTTCTGTCAAAAACATAAAATCGAATATTTTGTCGCTTACGTCCTTTTGGCGGTTAGGGCTCGATTTAATAATGAAGAGAATTAAATCAAAATCTAAATTTTGGAGATTTTATTATACAGTCTAACAGATAACTAAACTGCCCAAAGATGGCGAAGATATGTGTTTTTCTATATGTTTTTTGTATGCCAACTACATAGTATATTAATTGTTCAGATTTTGATTGCGATTTCTCACAAATTAAAATGTGTAATTAAATATCTTTATTGTTAAACGTGCGATATGTACACACATACATACTTATGCATTATGTAGAGGACATTTCGCCATTCACACATACAAACATGATATAACATATCTATTATATTGAAAGTTATTTAACATTTTCGTGTTATATGTAATATATATGTACATACATAGTATGTACATATGTATGTAGAAAATGTAAATCACGCGAAACTTGATAGCACCTTAATCATGCAATCAAGCCTCAGTATTTGCATGTAACGAATTTGAAACGGTTAGTCGCGTGGTCGATTCCATGTTGGTGGAGTTGTATCCATTACACTACATACTTGCGCCCAAAAGCTCCTTTTGCGCGGAGCAGAGTAAATGTCAAAAATATCTATGCAGCCGAGAGCCTGCGTGGGCAACTACAACAAACAACTACATGCTGTAGTATGTGTGTTGCATGCAGTAGTCCATTTACATTCGTACCCACCTCTTGCTGTTGCAATTTGCTTTAATTTCGCATTATTTATTTTATTGAAGTGGATCACAACTTTCACATTCACCACAACAGACCAGTTTTTGACTACTCAAATAAATGTAAGCAACTTAATAACGGTATGATTTTTTTGCTCCCAATTTCAGAGCCAATCGAAAGCTTCCACCTTGTCTTCGGGTGCCCGTGCAGCTGCTCAAACACTAAATGTCCCCATCGAACGCCTGGAATCGCGCCAATCGAACCATCGTGAACATGGAAACGCGGTCAATAGCCATAACGGTATGGCAGCAATGAACTCTTCGAGCGGACATGAACCTCATTTGGAAAAGTCCGTTGGTCTGCAACATGGGCGTCACAGTGCCGACACGGAGGTCGATGTCCACCATGACGCGCACCATTTGCTGGACAGTGAGGCCGATTCTATGATCCCAAATGCGAGCACACACACGGAGGCGCAAAAGGAACGCCATCAGTATACAAAGCAGGCGAGTTACCTGCATTCAGCGCGCAAAACATCCAGCAGCCAGCAGCAAATGCAGCAACAGCCCCAGCAACCGCAACCGCAACCCCAACCGCAACAACAACATCAACAAATGCTTGCTCACAATCATGCTGCGATGCCACATCATCTTGATGCTAACTACATGACGGAGGAACCCAATGGCAGCGGCGGCCCCTCGCCGTCCGTCACTAAATATTCTCTTCTTCAATTCGCCATGCAGCACTTCCGAAACGAGTAAATTAATTGCTTGATATTAAATCGAATTAGACTTTTTTGAATCCAAAAACCATATTTCACTTTTCCAGTCAGTATCCTGAAGTTCGTGCGCACACCCGCGATCCAACTCGAGACCACGGCGATCGCCGGATTCCTTCATATGCGGATCTTGTGAAATGGCAAGGCATCCCCATTCGTATGCCACTGCTGCGGTTGCCCAATGACTTAGCTCCTTTAGCGCTCGAGTGCTTTGAATGTATTTTGCGTTATTGCGGTGATATACCACACGATCCTGAGCTGACTGAAGTTAAGTGTGTCTACACAGTGCTTATGGTAAAACTCACAAAGAGGTGCACTTTTCGAAAAAAAAACGTTCATATAAATTATTTTTGTTGTTTCAGCATTGTCATAAATATTTGGCGCTTCGCGATGAGGTTTATTGTCAGTTGATGAAACAGACGACTGCCAATCGCTCTCCGTGTCCGGACTCTGCGCAGCGTGCATGGCGTCTGCTAAGCATTTTAGCAGCCTACTTTGGATGCTCCGATGCGCTACGCCCCTACCTAATGGAACACTTGACTTCGGCCGCTTCGGATCGGAGGCGTTCTTGTCACGGTACAGCAGCGGTTTGTTTAGCTAATCTGCGTAAAACGGCGCGATGTGGCGGTCGGAAGAACGTTCCAAGTGTAGAAGAAGTTACTGCTGTATCTGCTGGACGTTCAGCACGTCGTCAAATTTATCGCCTGCCAGGAGGGGCGGAACGTGTCGTCAACACTCGTTGTTCAACAGTGGTCGCTGACGTCATTGCCGAACTTTGTGCGCTGCTTAGCGTGGAATCCGAGGCTGAGCAGCAGGAGTTTTCTTTATACTGTATTGTACAAGGCGACGCCTTTACGATGCCCCTCGCTGCGGACGAGTATATATTAGACGTTACAACGGAGCTCCTTAAATCCGGCCAGCCATTCTACTTGATATTCTGTCGCTCAGTTTGGCATTTCCCTCTAAAACGTGATCCTGCACCAACGCCTCTCTATGTGGAGGTGCTTTTCAATCAAGTGGCGCCAGATTACCTAGAGGGTCTGCTATTGGAAATACCTAGCAATGGAGTGCCTATTCCAGAGATTGTGCGCGACATGGCCCGTATAGCTGCGCTGCTTCATCGCGCCGCTGATCTAACACATGTTCCGGCTATGAAAGAAATTAAATTCCTTCTGCCTAAACCGGCGCTCGGCATTCGCGAAATTCGTCCGGCGCAATGGGTGGGGTTAGTGCAATCTGCCTGGCCTCAAATTGCTGGCTTGACGCCGGGCCAAGTGAAGGCACAATTTCTTACGGTGCTGTCGGCGTGGCCCTTGTTCGGCAGTAGTTTCTTTGCAGTGAAACGCATTTGGGCCGAGGAGGGACCACATGTCGAAGACACCAATCCAATGTGGCGTGATCTGATACTGGCCTTAAATAGACGTGGTGTGCTATTCCTGGATCCAAACACGCATGAAACGCTACAGCACTGGCCATTCATGGAAGTAATTTCCACCCGCAAGGTTAGTCAGATAAATGGCTTATACATATGGACTAGGAAAATCATTTTCAAACTTTAACTTTTATACTCTAGGTTCGATCGGAGGACGGTGCTCTCTTTCTGGACATGAAAGTTGGTAATCTCATGCAGCAGCGAGTAATACGGGTCCAGACTGAGCAAGCGCACGAGATATCACGACTCGTACGCCAATATATAACAATGGCACAAATAAGCCAGAGGGACAAACGGGAAATGAATTGAAATCCATTAAGAGTATAAATTATTTAATATCGTTGATTCTTTACACATATGTACATACATAAATGTATACACATGCGTGTACCATGGTTATAAGTTTTATATACATATGTATGTATACATGCATGTATATATCGAGGGCTTATATTCAATATCCTCTAACTGCACTTTTCACAACAATGAGATTCAGATAGAAAGATCCACCTAAGACTTGATATTAGGTGTGTATAGTAGCTTCTCTAGTAAAAAATTGCAGCTAGAGCGTAAACGCAAAATGGAGCGTAAAATTGAGAAAAAGAGCAGAAAAAGTTATTGAACACAAAACTAGTAAAAACTTGCAAGTGAACAGGTGTTGCATTTTTTTGAGATTCTGCTATAAATACTTTACTATTTATAGATCAGTTTTAAACTCTTTTGCATTACACACAAGCACTTACACAGTCCAGTAAGTACATCATTAATATTTTGATTTCCACTCATTTTACTTGTGTTTATGCTTAACCAATTCAAAAAATGGCGGCTTTTGCCATTTATTCTAGTTCTTCTTCTGATAGCTAATTTTTGCTAATAAAAATTTCACTAGCAACAATTTGCAGCTCTCGCGTGTTATTACGCTCTCGATTCAGTGTTCTCTTTTTTGTGTTATTATACACTTTTCCAGTAAAAATTTGTAGGTTCCAGTACAAATTAGTACGGACTATTTGTTACTATACACACCTATCAATGCTGACCTTGTATAACGCTTTACTATTAAATTGCAAAATCAGAATTAAAATCACTGATGACAGGCTAAGTCCCAGATGGTTTCTAACATCACAAAGTAGTTTTTGTGAAAATTGCCGATAGAGGATATTGAATATAAGCCCTCGATATATATTTATAGTTAAGTTCCGAACACTTTTTTTTAAAGCAAAATATTTGAATCTAACATACATACATATTTCATTCTTTAATCTTTACCTACATATATATCTATCTTGCGTACATATGTGTGTCCGTGCTCAAAGCTTTAGAAAAAATTACACACTTATGATTTCTCGGTAGCTATGTATGTATGTATGTATGTATGTATGTTTGAAATTGCAACTCTTTGAAAATGTTTGTTATACATACATACATACATATGCATGTACATGTTTATGCACGTATGTATCTTTTCAAACATTATACATATTCGAATGCATGTGTAGTACACTATGAAAAAGTATACAAACAAATGTGTATATATAAGGCGTATTTAATAACTATTTGATACAAATAAACTAAAAATATAAAATGATACACAATGTTGCACCTACTTACATATGTATATAATATTTAAATTCATTAGCATCGAATTCGAATTTAAAAAAATGTTTACCAGAAAAGAAATTTATGTGATCTTTCTGCGAATTCTGCTTCTAGCCTAAAATCGAAATTGTGAAATTTCGCAGATAATCTACTGACAGACAAAGCACAGAATGAAGGGATATATTGGCCCAAATGAAAAAAAAAAACGGCGCGAAGTTACAAAATTGCACAAATAAGGATCTTGCGTACTGAAATAAATACCCTTAATGCATTTTGTTGTTGTAAAAGAGGACAATGCAATATAAATTACGAAAATATTATTTATTTTATATTTTTATCTGGTTCGTTGGTTCACAGAATGCCTCAAAGCGGCGACCGTAAGGGTTATGATCTTCATAACAACAATCATAATTTAATGGTTCTTTTAACGGGTGATTTTTTTGAGGTTAGGATTTTCATGCATTAGTATTTGACAGATCACGTGGGATTTCAGACATGGTGTCAAAGAGAAAGATGCTCAGTATGCTTTGACATTTCATCATGAATAGACTTACTAACGAGCAACGCTTGCAAATCATTGAATTTTATTACCAAAATCAGTGTTCGGTTCGAAATGTGTTTCGCGCTTTACGTCCGATTTATGGTCTACATAATCGACCAAGTGAGCAAACAATTAATGCGATTGTGACCAAGTTTCGCACGCAGTTTACTTTATTGGACATTAAACCAACCACACGAATGCGTACAGTGCGTACAGAAGAGAATATTGCGTCTGTTTCTGAGAGTGTTGCTGAAGACCGTGAAATGTCGATTCGTCGCCGTTCGCAGCAATTGGGTTTGTGTTATTCGACCACATGGAAGATTTTACGCAAAGATCTTGGTGTAAAACCGTATAAAATACAGCTCGTGCAAGAACTGAAGCCGAACGATCTGCCACAACGTCGAATTTTCAGTGAATGGGCCCTAGAAAAGTTGGCAGAAAATCCGCTTTTTTATCGACAAATTTTGTTCAGCGATGAGGCTCATTTCTGGTTGAATGGCTTCGTAAATAAGCAAAATTGCCGCATTTGGAGTGAAGAGCAACCAGAAGCCGTTCAAGAACTGCCCATGCATCCCGAAAAATGCACTGTTTGGTGTGGTTTGTACGCTGGTGGAATCATTGGACCGTATTTTTTCAAAGATGCTGTTGGACGCAACGTTACGGTGAATGGCGATCGCTATCGTTCGATGCTAACAAACTTTTTGTTGCCAAAAAATGGAAGAACTGAACTTGGTTGACATGTGGTTTCAACAAGATGGCGCTACATGCCACACAGCTCGCGATTCTATGGCCATTTTGAGGGAAAACTTCGGAGAACAATTCATCTCAAGAAATGGACCGGTAAGTTGGCCACCAAGATCATGCGATTTGACGCCTTTAGACTATTTTTTGTGGGGCTACGTCAAGTCTAAAGTCTACAGAAATAAGCCAGCAACTATTCCAGCTTTGGAAGACAACATTTCCGAAGAAATTCGGGCTATTCCGGCCGAAATGCTCGAAAAAGTTGCCCAAAATTGGACTTTCCGAATGGACCACTTAAGACGCAGCCGCGGTCAACATTTAAATGAAATTATCTTCAAAAAGTAAATGTCATGGACCAATCTAACGTTTCAAATAAAGAACCGATGAGATTTTGCAAATTTTATGCGTTTTTTTTAAAAAAAAAGGTATCAAGCTCTTAAAAAATCACCCGTTATTATTTCTATTTTTCCGATCAAGTTTAGTCGCTATTTTAGATTGTTAAGTGTCTCGATCATACTATAACCGTTATTTTCAGATTTCATTGCTTATAAAAAATTTAAAACAGTAGTAAAAGCGCAGTCTCTATTATAACAGTTAAAAATTATCGAAAAACATATAAATGCAAAATTATTATTTCTGATCGAAAAAATAAAAATGACGAAACAACGAAGAAATTTTGACCGAAAAAGTAAAAATCGAAAACTAAGATTTTCTAAATATTCTAAAAATAAAAATGTTGATAATATTTTTATTGAGCTTTGTACCACGATTGTTTATTAGGAAAAATTGAAAAAGTAACAAAGTCTAAGCGGTAGAAGTTATAGCAGCTATTTCGGAGATCAGATCACCACATCTCTTCATCAGACTTCTTTTTTCTAGACCAGCAGGGATCGAACCTGCGTAATCGATGTTCAAAGTCAGAAGTGTTAACCACTGAGCAATGTACATCTCGTAAACTCTTGTTGCTAATTCATTTTCCTTATTCAACCCAGTGCTATCAAGTGCAGCTCATTTGCCGCTATTTAGGCTTTCTGCACATTGGTCGTCCAATCATAGGTACTTCATCGTCACAATCATGATGCAACGATTACATGACGACTACATTTTCGCACACTCGGTCGTGATATTTCAATTCATTTGGCGTCTAAAAATTTACTTAGAGCAGGTATTTTCTGTTTTTCTGGTTGATATTTTCGCAAAATATTTACAAAAACCTGCAATTTCTAAAATATGGACTGTGCTGCAACAATTCTAGAAATAAATTTTCAGTAATATCTCTTCTTTTCTTTTCCTGAAATGTATTTTGTGCATGCACACAGAGCCTTTTTACAATTTCGTCATGTTTTATAGTTAAAACGCTCACATTTATTGAATTTTATTGCAATAATCCACTTTTTAATAATTTCGACAGATTTTATGCCAAAGACACTAATTTTTATTAAATTTTAATGCAAATAATAACTTTTTCACTAATTTTTCCCCATAAAATGTAAACAAGCAATGCGTGCACAACGATTAGCAAACGACAGTTCCGAACTTATCCGTTTCTGCATCTTAGAAGATTTGCCGATAACTAGCCGAAAAAGACAAGTGTGCAGACCTCCTTTGAAATGCATGTGCTCGGCCCAAAATTTCAGGGCGAGACGATAACGCAACTATGATTGGACGACAAGTGTGCAAATAGCCTTAAACTCGACAGCGTGGTTGTTGTTGTCAATTCTATACATACAACTGCACTTTATAGTAGGGATGGGTAGTGGGGGGTTGAAATGCGATTTTTTCCGAATTTCGAACATTGCCCAACCATTCGATTATTCGATTCGAAATTTGGTGGTGCAAATTCGATTTAGTTCGAATTTTCCAAAAAAAAGATTCTGAAAATTTAAAAGTTTGTTTGTAAGAATGACAACTCAAATCGAAAAAGAAATCCAGATGAACTTATATTAATATGATGAACGATCCATATCGCACTCTTTTGCTTCACAACCAAAAATAAATACAAATAAATTTTTTTTTTCAAAAAAATATCTTAAAAAAAATTAAAAAATTTGGCAAATGTAACATATTGAAACTAATTTTTTGGGGCGTATAACATGATTTCATTTATTTTTCTTGCTTAAAAAAACAAATTGCATGCTTCACGTTATATACAGATGCAATCTACGTATGTTTGTTAAAAAAGTCTTACATTTAATCACAACGCATGATTTTGCTTTTTAAAGCGAGATCTTTAAGTAAATAATTAACAAAATAGATAATAGGACATGAAGAGTTCTACCCAGCCACATTTTTGATTTGTCCATAGCTAAACGGCCGGTAATTTTGACTCATGCCAAAAATTTCACTTCACATTTGACATCAGTGTTGGAAAATGGAATGCCAATAACCTGCCACAAAAAATTTGACGACAGCCTTTGACATGCACTGCGATATCTACATTTGGTCAGTTTTTATGATGTATTTGACACCAAGTGAACAGCTGTTAGTTTAAGCAGTTTTTGATGTCAGTTATTTCGACATAATGAAAACCAGACATTAGATAAAGTTTAAGATCATAAAGCATCTGAAATATTATTTATTTTTTATGAATTTATTTGTATAGCTGGGATGTGTAACTGTAAATACATTTCACTGTAAGTTAATACTTAAACATTTATGGTGACGTGCATTAATGTCAATCGAATTAATGCCGCTGACATTAATACACAATTGAAAAGTGAATATTAATGTCATTGACATTATTGTACATCACCACATTTATCGAAGTTCCAATTATTCCATTTTCTTGAATATTTTTAATTCATTCGCTGCATCAAAAATATCGATTTTTATACAGGAAACATCGATATTTTGTTGCCTCAGATCGAAAAAACGTCGATGTATTTTATAAACTTGCAGTCCTAGTGCAATTTTTGTCACAAAGAAGAAAGTTGCAGAGCTGATATTTTGCAAATGAAGACGAAATTTGATTTTTTCTAGAAATATTTGATTTTATCCGAATTTTAGCACCACAAAGTTCGATTTCAAAAATTCGTCATTTTAGAACTAAAGTTCGATTAAAATTCGAATCTCGAAGCTTCGAATATCGAATTTACCCATCCCTACTTGATAGCAGTTGGTTGAATAAGGAAAATGAATTAGCAACAAGAGTTTACGAGATGTACATTGCTCAGTGGCTAACGCTTCTGACTTTGAACATCGATTACGCAGGTTCGATCCCTGCTAAACTCTAGAAAAAAGAAATCTGATGAAGAGATGTGGTGATCTCCGAAATAGCTGCTATAACTTCTACCGCTTAGACTTTGTTGCTTTTTCAATATTTCCTAATAAACAATCGTGGTACAAAGCTCAATAAAAATTTCCTTTTTTGGAACGAATTTCCGTCATCCCTTGCCAAATTTGGTTTGGAGACGAACCGGTTTCGGCGTTGTGCCATCTTCAGTATCATTTTTCGTTCTGCATAATTTTTGTTGGTTGCTCGTATTTATACTCCTTGTTAGTCCCCTTTCAGACACGTCAAGTCTTGCTTTCAAGTCTGCTCGTTCGTAGGCGAAGGAGGTGAGAAGAGAGGGGAAGAGTACAGATACCTCCGTACCGTCAATTCGTTTCAAGTTTTCTTGTCTCTTTTGATCTTTTCGTTGCTTCCCATTTAAAGAACCAAGGACTTGAATTCAATTAAAGTTGACGCGTGTGAAAGCAAATAGAAAACACAAAAGAGAATGCGAAAAAAATTGCTTTCAAGACTTGACGTGTCTGAAAGGGGACTTAACTACATCTTTCTTTTGTTAGGTACGTCTTTTTAGTTTTGCAGTGTTTGCGGTGCTCAATAGGTAGATCAATTGTTTTGGCTCGTTTTTGACGGCAGGTAGAAGTCCGTGATTTTTACCTTCTTTGTTTTTGCAGTTGGTGTATTCCCTTCCATGTCTGTCCTTAATATTTTGTTGTTGTAATTTTTCTTCTCGTACAGTAGTTTTAGAGGTTCAAACAGTACGCCCGATACAGTATTTATTTGCTCATTTATTATCTGTCCTTTGAAGGTCTTCTGTTTATATATTTCCATATTTTCTAATATATTCAATCTTTGTCCTTTATGTTGTACACGAAGAAGTTCTGTTGTTTGTCCAATCTTCATTGTTGTGCATTTATTTTTGATCATGTGATTCGCGAAGTTCGATTCTATTGCAGCCTCTGGTTTTCGTTTTTTCTTATTCGCCCCTATTCCGATTGTCGGAACGACAGTCGTTCGTCGATATTTGAGATTTTCATTGGCGTTATGAGGCAACCAATGACATTATCTACTACAAATTTGTATTCCTATTATACTTTCGAAATGAAGAAGTATTGAAAACGTGTCGTTAATGTTTTTATTTACGACATAATTCAACGAACGACTGTCGATGCGAACGACTTGCGCCAACCAGAATAGGGGTGATTATAATCCCTTATGTGTTCTCGATACCTTGTTCTTATATTTCTTTTATAACTCGAAAACAGGGTTTGGAAAAAAGACGAATGATCGAACACCCTACTATGCACGTCTGCTAAGCCTAGTCGTGTTAGGGGTAGATACAGTGACGAACAAAAGTATTGGCACAGTGAATTTTTCGCAAAATATGCAAAGTTTTTTATTCTAATTTATTTTCGATAATTTTTTATAAAAATATAGTTCATACTACACCAAAAACATTAAAGTAAATTCTCTAAACCTTGTGAAAAACTCGCATTTAAAATTTTACCAACTAATAAAACGAATAGCCGCGTTCGATAACACCAAAATTTTTAATAAAACGTAGTTGTTCTTAAACGTTGCCAGCAGGTGTTTGATAACGCCAAAAACTTATCCATAACTCAAAACTTATCATAAACGCAAACATATATTGCGAAGGCGAAATGTAGATATTAAACAAACAGCCGCAATCAAATCCGTTTAAAGATTACTTAAGGTGGGTACCATGACATAACTCCAAGTGGCATAACTCCAATTTTTAAATTTGGAATTATGTCACTCCTTATACAGTGACAGAACGCCTAGTTTTTTCTTGGGGTTATGTCACTTTTTATAAGGTGTCATAACTCCAATTGGGATAGTGTAACTTTTGAGCCTAAAGCATATTTTCCAGCTCTCAAGAAAAACAAAAAAATCTTAAGAAATTAAAAATAATTTTCTACTAAACTTTTCCGGCAACAGAAAATGTTGACTTTGGATTCGCATACGTCCCTCGCTTTGTATACATGTCTCTCACTCCATTTATACGCAAATATGTCGATTTTTACCCTTTCGAGCTGTTCACCAGATGCGTATCTAAAAGCTAAGTGAGCCAACCTCTTGATCTCTGCATGCTGATGTTGCAGATGTTGTTCTGCACTGCACTGTTCTCAACTTTAAGTGCAGTCATTGAACAGACCTAATAAAGCTGTCAGAGAATACAGGTGCTCAATTTCCGTTCTGCGTAATCGTGAAGTGAAATATCAAAAAGTCTCACCAAAATACATGCGGTGTGAAAGTGCTATTTTTTTCACTTCGCAATAACTCCTCAGAACAGAGATTACCCGATCGAACAACGATAGCTATCACTCCGTGTTGTCACACATGTGGGATCGTGTAAACCCCGCTAATGAGAGCGACTTTTGGAGAGTTGTATAGAGAATGAAGTTGAAAAATGTTACCCAAATTTTTTCTTCTGGTAAAATCATGATAAGTGTCAAGCGTTTACGATTCCTATTCGGAATCAAAGCAAACATCAAAAAATTGTTGCTAAACCCATAGTTAGGTATGTGATAAATGGTATGCGATATCTCTTACTATATATCGTATACCTTCTGCAATGAACGGTCACACAACCGATATACATATCTCTTAAGCTTGCTATACAGTTCAATGCGAGCGGGAACGTGAACGTTCGCAAAGGCAAAGAATTCCAATTGTATTCTTATGGACGTTCACACACATCTGTCAAAACTTGTCGTTCACATGCGAATGCTTTGCGTACGCACACAGTTGAGTGTGAGCCTGAAAAAAATGCATATTATGGTATTTAAATTAATTTTGATTCTATAATTCTGAAAAATATTTTAATTCTTTATCTTTTGATGTATCAACTATTGCAAAAAGTTAAGTAATAACGAAGATATTGGTCAAAATAAAAAGCTCACGCTCACGCTCGCATTGAACTGTATACGATGTTTCGTATGCGAGCGCCCATACCAGGTACAGACGTGCATTATAATGTATGTATAAATGTAATACGTGGTTATAATGTACGGGGCAAGGCGTATTCAAATAAATACGCCTTGGTACGGGGCAAATCGTAGTAAATCGTGGCGAATTCGAATACAATTGATAATTAAGGACCTGTGCCAATTAATAGAAAAGAGGAAATTTTGACGGATCAAAGTAAAAATTTGACATTTCTCGTGTTTAATACGAACGTCAGAATTTTACCTAGCTCATGGGGCTACGTAAAATTTTGACAGCTGTGTCGCGAAAAGCAAAAAGTATCGACGTGTTAACAACTTTTTTAAGTATATATATTTTTTAAATTACATAAAAAATTACATTGAAAAATTTTAAAAATTATCCAATAAACATTGTGGCGAATGTTCGAAAATTATCTTCGAAATCCAATATGAATATTGTGAAAATGAATATAACTTTCATAACTCAAAAAACCAAATACTCGAGGTCTCAAAGTTTTGAATTTACATTTACTTCCATACTAGAAATGAGTACATATTTTGTTTTTGTGAGCTACTCCGTAATCCGTGCATCTATGAAATTTTCAAACAATATAAAAAAACAGGTAGCGGTCATTTCAAGTGATTCATAAATATACTCGTCAAACACTTATAAAATATTTGTTTTTAAAAACTTGAAAGCTGCCTTTACGCAGGTCAATATTTGTCATTCAACAAAAATCTACCCGTGTAGAGTGCAATTTAACCGTAAAATGTAAATGCTTTGGCTAACCTACTCCTCAGTCGACAGAAATGGACCTGTGTAAAAGCGGCTTAAATAGGCTTTATTTATTAATTTATTTTATGCTTGTAGAAGTAAACTTATTGCAAATGTATTTCAAAAACTCCCTTTATAAATGCTTGTTAGATCAGATTTCAAGTATTAAAAGCAGTGTCTATTCAATTTACAAATATATAAGCTCTTCCATAAAAGTAAAACAATCTGATTTATGTTTATCTTTCGCGTTTGCTTTAAAAATACTTGGAAGTACGATTATTATGAATACGTTTTTGCAAGTATGAGTACTGGCATCGATTCTTCTGTAGAGTATTATGTATGAGTACTATTATCGATACTTTTCTAAAAAGTTATATCACTACAGGTGCGGGATCATGCATGCATAGTTACGCAAGCAAGATTTTCAAGCAAGTGAAGACGGACAGTAAGGAATAGTTAACTTTGTGTAATAATGAACATGTGGCAACCTTCTAAAGCATTCGTTCACAGTCCAGCCAACCTTGACGAGTTTACTTTCAACAATCCGACAGCTATTCGCCGCAGAACGAGGCAAGCAGCGGAATCGGATTTTTCGCAATTTCAGCAGCCCAAGAACCCGATCGAGTGTTGCGCGTGTGGACAGCTTCAGTTTTTCTGCTTAAAAAGATTTTTAATACTTCACATTGAGGTATATAAAACAAACGGAAAATGTAAGTTTTGTGTGTAACATTAAAGGAATTGGGACATATCTTCGTAATTTGTTTGAAGTGAATCATTTGAGCGCGCTGTTGGCGGCGTTGACATGTGGGATAACTTGATTGCAAGCGTGGTTTCGCTTGTTTTTCTTCTCGGATAATTCTATTTTTGTATGCCAAAAATTGATGTTTAAACGTCTGGTGGAATTCGCAAAAATGGCAAAAGTGTGCAATCTTGCTAAAGGACAGTTTCGTATTTATATACATATGTATCTTTTGGCAATAGAGGCAGAGGCAAATGTTTTTTTTTGCGTTTGAGGTTAGATTTGATTTTCGCTCATCAATGACGTTTGATACGCCAATAATCGCTTTGCAGTTGTCTACCGGCGTTTTTGCATTTTATGAACTAATTTAACTGACGCATGTCTGCTGTAAAACAAAATCTGATGAAATACATCTGTTCCCTTCACAGCTGCACCGTTTGAAGGCGTTGAGTTTTGGCGCGAAAGCCTCTACCCTCGTTTCCGAAATATTTGGTACATATACATAAATGAATATGCATCAGAAATTTTTCTAGAATGCAACACTTCGGTTAAGATAGTGTTAATTTTATATTCGTGTAGTTTTGTTTAATTGTATTCCAGGCAATTGTTTGGTCTTACTAACGTATTTAATTTTGCAGAAACACCAGTGAAAAAGAGAAGAAAATACTTAACAAATGGCACAAGAAGCAGATATTCCAACATTCAAATGCGTTCTGGTCGGAGATGGTGGTACTGGCAAGACCACTTTTGTAAAACGTCACATGACCGGCGAATTTGAAAAGAAGTATGTTGCTACACTCGGTGTCGAGGTGCATCCACTTATCTTCCACACTAACCGTGGCGCCATCCGTTTCAATGTCTGGGATACCGCTGGTCAGGAGAAATTTGGCGGCTTGCGTGATGGTTACTACATTCAGGGACAGTGTGCTATAATTATGTTTGATGTTACTTCTCGCGTCACATATAAAAATGTACCAAACTGGCACAGAGATTTAGTACGCGTCTGCGAAAATATCCCGATCGTTTTATGCGGTAATAAGGTCGATATAAAAGATCGCAAAGTCAAGGCTAAGAGTATCGTTTTCCACAGGAAAAAGAACTTACAGGTAAGTTTGTCTTGTAATGTACTAGCATCCTAAAAATTTGGCGATTGCCCTTCAAATAATGGAACATTTCTTTTTGCTTTTTACAGTACTACGATATTTCCGCCAAGTCAAATTATAATTTTGAAAAACCTTTCCTTTGGCTGGCACGAAAGTTAGTTGGCGACCCAAATTTAGAATTTGTCGCTATGCCAGCGTTACTTCCGCCAGAAGTCAAAATGGACAAGGATTGGCAGCTGCAAATCGAGAGAGATTTGCAGGAAGCTCAAGAAACTGCATTGCCAGAAGAGGATGAAGATTTGTAATCTTAAACATACGCTAATTTTTATCTAAATACAGAGTTTACAACAAATTATAATTGAGAAAACTTAAAATTCTAAAACTACTGCAAAAAATGGCGAGGAACTAATAAAAATATTTAAACCTAAACGGCAGACATTTTTAGATTTCATTGGAAATGTACGTTTTCCATGCTGTACTTTGTTCATGTAATGTGTATTTAAGTTGCGCTTATTTTTTTATTTTTAGTGTACAATTTAAATAATTTTGTATTAAAATTAATCTGAATAATACTTGATGTCTTCGATTTAATTAATCATAATTGGCAAATGGCGTGTAGTTGAAGAAGCAGCAAAATGCTTGTTTTCGAGTGCAAAGATTTCTGCATAAATACATATGGACTGATGAGGCATAAAATACAAAATGCTGGAAATGTGCTGAATTGAAAGTTATTGCCGCATGAAAAGGTAGGTAAGATATGGACGTGTAGTAGAATCAGGTGGTCGTTGGATAATCTCTCTGCTGGGAATCTGGGCTAAATCGGATGAAACTAAACATAGGAAATACGAATGGTGGAATTTATTGGTAGCGAGATATCGGGTGATATTAGTAAAATCAGTTCAAACGTGTACGCAAATATTACAATACGTAGAGAGGATTTAGTCATATTCGAGGCACGTAATCAAAGCCGCGATACTGCAGCATTGATGGAAAATTGGAAACACTTGCAACTGCCCAACTGGTAAAAGTTGCTAGAAATTCATGCTGAATGTGATACTTTAGCTATTCGTGTATCACGGCGGATGTGATTGCAACTCGAACAAGCCATTGCCTTATAGAGAAACTACCGTTATGAGATAGGGTGGTTTTCAAAACGTCAAAATATAAAGCATCAGTCTCTTTTATTTCTAAACCGCACTCTAAGAAGAAGTCTAAATTGCGCAACCTAGCTGAAAACTGACATCTAACCGTGGTTTTCCACATTTGGCATTACAATCTACCGAAGTTTAGACGTTTTGAAATGCACCCATATTCCTAATTCTTAGCAACAGTAAACCGGCACTTATTTGTGTTACATCATCCCTAGTCTTAAGTGCATTGAGACAACTTGGAAGAGTTGCAGGCTTCTAATTAACTTCCTTAATGAAAAACACGAGGAAATATCACAGCCAATACAGGAATATATAGGCCAGCGTAATATTCACCTACACCGGCACGGGGGCACTCCGGACTATGAGGTCATCCGCTTGAACAAGGAATCTGATCAGAGATAATTTGATTGCTTTTGTCGCTCTGCTAATGTTTTAAAGGTGCGAAAGGCTCACGCTTTCCAATGACAATAAAATACAAGCAATACAAACAATTTAAAATATGTATGTAGAACATTGAACCACAGTAGGTACCATTCATGAAGAAACGTTTACAGGCCAGATAAGACGAGTTTCTAAGTTAAATGACAATTTATCTTTTGGACTCACCTGAACAGTTGGTGGGGAAATTACGGTTTTACCCCGTTGAAATTAGTAATCCGCGCAGAAGTTGACCAATATTTTGTATAGGTATTCATACAAATGTGGATATTCATGTATTTTACCAGGATGCTATCGTTCACTATTTTTCACTAATCACCGCATTACTTAACACAATTTTATATAAACAAAACGTAAACATATTCACATCTTTTTTATGTAAAAACAGGAACAGAAAAATTATTTGCAAGCGGATATAAAGAACACGCCACTTCACCGTCAAAATACCGCGCATTTTTTAATTGAAATAGCCCGGCGAATTCAGAGAATTGGTGAATTCGCCATTGGAATCCATATGTAGCAGGGTTAGACCTCGAAAACGTAAATCGGAATTAACGACGAGCAAAAAAAAAAATATGGCCAAAATTAATTTTTTAAAACATACAGTGGTACAGTGGTAGCGTGATACAAATATTAAACAAAAAAAAATTGTATCATGCAGTGGTAGTAGGTAAGGTACAAGTTTTAGTCATTTTTATACCCGAGCACACTTGTGCATAAGAGTATTATCGCCTTGAGTATTATAACTTTGTTCACATACCAGTTGTTTTTGTTTATAATTTTAATTTAATTTTTCTTTAAGTATATCTCAATATCTATCGAAAACCCTGCATATAAGTTTATATTTCAAAAATTTTTGGTATGCAGTTTTATAGCCCATTAAATTTTAGCGCAATCAAGTGCAGGTGTTAAGTTGCTGAAAAATCTTATTGACTTTTAATATTTTTTTATTGACGGTGTTATTCATTTTTTCCCCCAGATAATACAGATTTTCGAACATATTTTGTATGGAAGAAAATGCGTAACATCGCTAGCGAAATAATTATAAAAAATCAGCTTCACACTAACACTCTGTTGGACTAAAATTTAATGGGTTAAAAAATCCATACCAAATTTTTTTCTAAAAATTCTGACTATTAAGAATGACACCCCTATTGCGAGTGTCGACTAGTAGTAAATGAACGATTTTAATCGGTTATCGATTATCCGTGGTATTTTCAAAGTCGTTTTCTCGTTCAATAAGTGCGTGTTAATAGTTTATAGTCGCTCATCCTTCTATAAACAAACAAACATTTGTTGCAAAAATGGGCGATAAAAACTATTCACAGTCGCTTATTGAACGAAAAGATTGGAAAAGCGATAATCGAATAAGAGTCCTATATCTACTACTAGTCGACAATCGCAATAGGGGTGTGAAACTTTGATGAAACTTTGTATATACATTTATGATTTGCTATTTTTTTCCTTTATTAACAACATAAATATATAAAACATATACATCAATTATTTATAATAAACGACTAAACTTTTTTGTGTTAGAAAAATAATTTACCACACAGTTGGTAGGGAAATTACGGTTTTGCCCCGTTGAAATTAGTAAACCGCTCAGAAGTTGAAGTTGCCTGAAAAATCACCGCGTGCGAAATCCCTATTACACTTTAGTCACACAACGGTAACAATGGTTGCCCATTCGTTTTGCTTCCTTTTCGCCGTATTAAAACGACTAGTTTAAAAGGTGCAGTGAACAAGTGGTGACACCGCGTTATTTATTAATACGGTTTGCAATACCTAACAAGTGCAAAAAAGCGAGTAATAAAGATCGTTTTTTGTTTGATTGTGTTAATAGTGTTTTACACATATTTTAATCGTGAAAATCTGCTTTGAAGTATGCTGCATTTAAACAAATGCTGCGTCCAAATTACCTTTGCAAAGTATCAATTCGGTTTGGTCATTTATGTGTGTATGTATGTATAGTGTAGTTCCGGCGTTCGTTGTTGGCCATTCCTTTTCGCCGCATTAAAACGACTAGTTTGAAAGGTGAAGTGTGCAAGTGATGATGTTGCGTTATTTATTTTTAGGGTTGCAATGTTTAACCCGATTTACAAATATCTTTTTTGGTTGATTATATTAATATTGCTTTATATTGTAATCGTGAAAAAATTGCCTTAAAGTTTGCTGCATTAAAAAGTTACGCGTTCGAATCAGCCTTGCGGAGTATTAATTCGCTTTGGACATTTATGTATGTATGTATCAGCGATGGAAAAGTAGGCACAATAGTCCCATTTTTGGCACTTTCATTCTCAGAGGCACTTTTGTCACAGTTCATCCTGTTTTGGCACAATCATATAGTATAGAAATTTAGCATAAAATGCCAAATGAAAATTAAAAGCACTCAAAATTTAAAATAAGGGCCGCGAGAAATATTGCATTTTGAAAGTTTGCAGTGCAAGTAGTTCATTAAATAAAAGTGGAAGTCTCTGCAATATCCCGATGATTTTTGATAATTTTTTTTTGGACGGGGACAAACATTTTCATCTATTTAAAAAGTATTTGAATACACTATATGAAAAAAGTGAATAAATACGAAAACTTGGCATCTCTCTAAAAATTCTAAATTCAAATTTTGTTGTTGCGAAAATATGCTGAATTTTTATAAATTTTGTACAAATTTGAAATGCTGATTTGTGTACATATAGTATGTTTATTAAATTAGGAATTAGACTTTTATATAAAATCAATCGAAAAGTAATCAATGAAAAGAATAGGCGAAACTGGTCAAAATGTCTCACTGCCATTATTTCGCATATAGGTACACATACATATGTACATACATACCAGAGCTGTAAAACTGTGAAATCATATGAAATTAAAAATCACCAATTTTATGTTATTATGTTTTCATTGAATTTTTCCTTGTTGGGGAATGTGGCTTATAATTTTCCAATTCTACATTCACTCAAAGTAGATACGATTGCACACATTAACATATTCAAAGAAAGATTGAAAAAACTGAATGACGAAACATTAACTTTTAACACTGAATAAGCATTCAGATGAATGCAGCTTTTGCTATGTGTGCACACATTCATTCAGTACCAATCAATCGATATAAATATTCTAAATACACAAAACCCACTGAAAAAATACGCAAGGTTGAATTTTATTGAACAGATTTCAAAATTTCAACTCGAAAAATAGTTTATTGAGCGTTATCATTAATTTGTTTCACTTAAATTTGTACAAATATTTATAATAAATGAAAATATTAATTAGAGAAATATTTTTCTGCCAAGAATGTCATTATGAAAAATGTTAATTATTAACGATTTTTACATCTCTGTTTCGAAAATTGTCAGCTTTCTAAATAAGTATTACCAATGTACCAATAAAAGGTATGTGCAGAAGTTATTACATATGTACATACCTATATATCTACGTTAAAATAAGTAAACAAATTTAAGCGCTTCTACTTCTAACTTTAGATATATACATTTTATTATTTATTTATAAAAATTCTTAATACAAGTTTCTTCGTACTTTTTTCTTCGCTATTGGGTCAAGCATTTAATAAAGATTCTAAAACCTGATTTGTGGGTTTACAATAAGTTGAAAATTATCAACTTTTCTCAAAAAAAGATTTAACAAATCTGTGTGCAGACCCCTTTTTATTTTAGTGTGGTAGAATCGAAAAAAAATGTGGTAGATTTGAATAAGATGTGGTAGATTTTCCAATTCATATTTTATTGGGTATACATATCGCACACCGTCGTCCAAAGAAGCACAACTCAAAAATTAAATCGGGAAATATAATTGCTAGTGGATCGTACAGATTCCACGCAA